AGGGGAGCACATGTATTGTCTAGAGAGTACATCAACATTCACTGCCACATCTAGTGTAGACAAACCTCTAGGACTCTTCACACATTCTCTGTCTGAAGTTTCCGGTCTTCTTGGCTGAAGTACATACACATCTAGTGAGGTAAAACACCGAGGTGATGGTGACAGAGGCTATAGGTGAATGTGACACAACTGTACAAGACAACATCTCTCACACAACCACTCACCAAAGGGTATGGACAATATGAGGAATGAGGTAATGGCACCATGAACAGCACTCCACATAAAAACTCGTTTATTGAAAAATCTGTTGGTGTGACCAGGATTGTAGAGTTTGGGGAAACGACGACTATAGTAATCATCGACATCTTGGTCCATGATTCCCAAACACAGGACAGGGAGTGAGGTATAAAAAAGGTTGTAGGTCGAGATAAAGAAGGGATCATACACAGTCTGAAAGATGGAAATAGATCATATGCACAACATTAGAACACCTTCATTAATTATGAAAATCTTCAAGAAGAACCTGAAATACAAAATGAAACCAAACAAGTTTAGATTTCCTTTCAAGTGATATCAGCAGCAGTCATCTCACTGAATGAAAAATCTGTAAAAAAATCAAACTTGTGAACTGCACCACCACTACTAAAAACATCCTTTACCAAATTAACAGGTCTTCTAGATTTGAACAACATCTACATCTATATGAAAAAAAAAAAAAAAAGATCATGAGGCCAGCTCTTTACCAAAATATATTTTTTATTGAGACATTCACTCTACCTAAGCACTAAAGCATATTCTCTTACCTGTGCTGAGAATGCCACAAAGAAGGCAAACCAAAAGTGGCATAAAGTGAAAGCAAAGTTTTTGTAGAAGAAGTATCTGAGGAACTTGCACATCCGGTAATAGGACCAACGGCCGTGCACCAGCAACAGTCTCTCGAGAAATCGGAACTGCGCCACTGAATAATCTGATGCTAAGACTGCTTGCAAGCCCTCCTGGCCAGATATGCCCACTCCAATGTGAGCAGCTAAGGAAATAATACAATGCCACATTACTAGACAGTCTTACAAAATTTGACTTTTCCCTTTGTTTTGAACTCTGTATAAGAACTTTAGAAATACCATTTTGCAATGAATATTACATTCCAAAATTATTTCAAGTCAAACATACAAATTCAAAAAGATTGATCCAGAACACTAGTAAATCTTATGAACTTACTTTTAATCATTGACACATCATTAGCTCCATCACCCACTGCCAGAGTCACTGCTTTCTTGTAGCGTTTCACCAAATCAACAACCAAGGCTTTTTGCAAGGGTGTCACTCTACAGCATATAACGGATTTACCTGTCAAATTCATAAATATTCAATATACACTCCATACCTGAAATATATGACACTTTTGCACTTGTGCTGGCTAACATATTGGTGAAAATCTGTTTTTAAATATCTTCCTCTTTGGGGCTATATTCTATGTTATCAACTAATAATTTCCTTTTGGGAAAAAAAAAGTAAAAACAGCAACAAAACCATTACTAATGGATCTCTGTAGAAAGAAAAAATAACTTCTGTTTCTGTATGTTTGTGTTCATATTTTCAGAGTTTTTATATTTGTCTGAACAGAGTAATATCAGAAAAGGTCTGATTTCTATACTTTCCTTAATATGAATTTCCAAACTGATAAATCTGGGAGCATTTTATCTTTCAGCATTAAACCAATTATTGCAACAATACCACATGAAAAACATTTCAACCAAAAGAAAATATAACCTTTACTTACACTGACTGGCAACTTCCAGGAAGAGCTGCTCGAACTTGGGACTGAGAGCCCAAACCAAGGAGTGGCCATTTATGACCAGAGCAAAGCCTCCATTTGGCTCACCAGCATCACTCAGAGTGTCCTGCCCCACGCCTTCATCGCTGTAAATGCTAACAATGTAAACGGCAGTGAGAATACCAGCACAACAAGGCATCCATTTCCTGAGTGGGAAATTGCTTGGAGAGAGAGTGATGCATCAAGTTTGATGCATCAAGAGCATTTTCATTGCTTTGAGAACTTTTTGATGTCTTTACACACTATGTGATACACCAGTAATTGTTAAGAATAGTTTTATTCAAAGTCTGACAAGAAGATAAACTCTTGAAAGTATACTGATTACTTTACAAAACTTGTAACTGAATAAGAACTCTGACATATGGTCTATCTGTGCAGCATGAGAGAGGTATCTTTCAATAAAAATGACACAACACTGGCTCATCTACAAACACTGCAATACCATCCATAGTAATAATACTAATAAAAACACTAATCAAACATAAAACCAGTATTCTAATAGGTGTCTGATTATCTCAGTGTTAATTAACCCATGGGATTCAGGTGCCTCGGAGCTAGCATGTGGACCCAAATCCAGGCATTAGGCTTAAATGAGTGGCAACTCTCCTGGGTATGTGGCCAACATGAACACTCATGTGCAGTTGCTATACTCCTTGCCTCCTGTTTGCAATGTTATCCTCATCCTCATCATCAACATCACCATTATTATCATAATTATCATCATCATCATCATAATTATTGTCATCATAATTATCATCATCATCATCATCATCCTTATCCTTATCATCACATCATCATCATCTTTTTTGCCATTTTTCACAGTCTATATTTGTTTCTTTGAGCAGACTCCTTCTCCTTATCATGTTCCTCTGTAATTTACTATTCTGTGCAATAACTCTAACAATATGTAACACTGTGTTATTTGTGTGATTTTTACAGTATTTGGGCAAAATACCCAGGACCACTGGTCATGGCAGGTAGGAACTGCATCCTGACATGGTAATAGTATCCTTCCTGGAGACAGTACTTTTCTAGGCATGGCTCATGGATCTGTGCATTCTACTCTTATTTAGTAGTGGTAATAAAAGACCACTGAGTCTAATCTTCCTCCCAGATCTTTGTGCACTCATGATGAGTCACATTCCGGTCACCATGGCCTTTACCCAATTTTTTTGTGATAATAAGTTCTTATCATCTTCGCCCTCAGCCAATTTTTTTCAATGACACGATGGTCATGTTACCCGAATCCAATGTGTTTTCTTATCAATCTTATAATTACTGATATAAATAAAAATCTGAAGTTATTATAATTAAAAACCACAGTAAATTAAGGAAATAATAAATACTACTTCTGATTAAAATATAATCTTTAAATAAATTTTTTCCATTAATTTCATGTCCTTAAAGGTCCCAACAAAATAAAAGCAGGTGAGACTAAATACATAAGCAAGTGAAATTCACACATGAATTTGAAATGGCATCTGTGGGGAGTGCCCTTTCTTAAGGTAACATTACCATGGCAGTCACCTGTGTGCTATATGTAAAACATTTAGAAGCAAATTAACTGATGGAACTGAACTGCAATTTGTGCTTCTACTAAGCTTCATATACAATTGTCAGCTTTGTTTTATACAGACACTTTTATCAAATACACATATCTAAAAATTATTCTTCACATAGGCTGTGCAGTGTTTATCCTCACAAACAACTACCTAAATTGACAATGTGCTGCTGCTGTTAACTAGAGTAAAGTGAATGCTTTTTGATTGATCAGCTGGCCTTCCCACTTTTATCAAATTAAAAGTAATCTTTAACACCGAATTACAAAATTATTTTCAGTGCATTTCTTCAGAATGTTTAAGTTTTTGGTGTTACATCAGGCAAAAAATGAGTTATGTGAGGCTTGAATAAAATTGCACTATCATCACAGGATAGATGTATATTTCTTATCTAAAAGGGATATTAAGAATGTAACATAGCTTCCACTGGACTGTCAATTTACATTTTCCAGTAGACAATAAAAATAGGGAAGGCTATTTATTAATCACAGTTGTAAAAACTTTGTAGGGAGCTCCAATGTAGTCTATAATCATATTGTATAATCTAAATTCCGCCACTGTCTGGGGATTAATGCCTGCAATTTTTTAGCCCTGCAATTGTTAAATGCTTTGCTAATTGTTTGATAAAGGCTACTGTTAGACTACTCCACATTTCATTCCAGATATGCAATAGCATCATGCTCTAATTTTGACATCAAGGAATTAGACCCAGCTCTTTATAAACAATAGATGTTCTCTCTCTCTCTCTCTCTCAAAAAAAAAAATATTCTATTAAGGCCAGCTAAATAAAAGGAAAAGATGCCTTGTTGTGCATAAAAACAATAAACATAACATTACCATCTTTTATACTAAACATCTACAAAAAAAGCAACTTACTCTGAAAAAAAGTAGTAAAATACTTAACCTAATACATACCACTCTTGCATACTGTGAAATTTGTATTCATATACTAGAGTCATGCAAAGACAAATCAATATTCTCAATAATGCATGCAGTGAATATTTTTGCTTTCCGGTCAATTCACACTGATAAAAAACTAAACAGTGTACACATAAAGTCAGTCTACAGGAGTACTGTCTTTTAACCGTCAGATCAAAATAACATATCAGGAATAGTTGATGGTAAAAAAAAGGGAAAAATAATACTATGAAAATACACTACAATAACATATCTACTTTGATAAGACTCAATATCAAAAACAGGAGAGTAACCATATTGTACTCATACCACTAAACTATTCAATAAAAAGGCTCTTTACCTGAATGTGACAACTGATAAGTTTGTCTGTGGTTGACTTGTGGCATTCACATTGCGAATTTCCTCACGATATTTTTTGAGCTGATCTTCAACTTCTGAGGCAGTGTGGGCATCAATGATGAAGATGTCAAGCATATCATCTGTCAACAACTAGAGGAAACAATAGTCGTAAACAATGGTTCATCAAATTAATACCAGTGTACTTTAGTTCAAACACAAGTTAACATAAATATCATTCTATTCTTCATAAGGATGTTTCATATAGATACGCATGACATTCTTCTTTGTATTAAATTTGTGAAAAAAAGGAAGAAAGAAAGAAAAATAAGAGTTAGCAAGGAAAAACAAGAAGAAAGAAAAGATAAAGAAAAAAGGGAAGATATAGATAAGGGGAAAAATCAAACATACCTGGCAGGAATAACCAATATTGATTGCAGTTTCCTGTTTGTCACCTGTAAGCACCCAGATCTTAATACCAGCAATTGCAAGATTGGCTATGGTCTGAGGTACTCCATCCTGCAGCTTGTCCTCAATAGCTGTAGCTCCTGTAAAATATTTATGTAATGAATATAAGAACAATTGATAAATATATGACAGCATACATTCATATAGTGTACTACAATAAAACACACAATGCTTTCTTGGGCTGATTCAATCAACAAGAAATGAATTACCCAAAAGAATAAGATCCTTTTCAATCTCTTCATAAATAGCATCCAATTTCTCCTCTCGCCTGTCCAGAGAAATGGCAGCTTCATGATGCCGAGCTTTCCAATTCTGAGGGTGAAGTGCGTCTCTTTACATTATCACATTCATTTCTTGTACATCACATATAGAGTGGTATATGTAAAAAACTGGTTATTATAAAAATTGAAAAGTAAGTTATTACAGAAAAAAATCTTAATTTACCAAACCTAGGAATTATTCAAAACTAAAAAAATTTATATATATGTACAGCAAACATCAAAATCTCTTGACCTATAAAACCCAAAGGCATTGACCTACTTGAAAATATTCTCCATCTAAATCCTTGTATGCAAGGCATAGTGTTCGCAAACCTTCCCCTGCAAATTTCTGAAATGTAAAAGTAAAATTTCTTATCAAGAAAATGTTGGTTGCCTCAAAGACAACAGATAGACAAATTGGTTCTTTTAAAAACAAAAATTAATACAAAAAAGTCAAAGACACAAACACTGATAATATAGTGATTATCATTTGTAATCTCATATGAAGAATTCAAAGAAAATAATGTTTAATTCTTTAGAAAATTTCATATCAAGTTTTACAAATGGGGGAACAAAAATCTTTGAAACTTACATTCAGATGCTCCTGAGTATGATATTTCAAACTTTCTTGTCCATCTTTTAATCTTTCATATATGATGGAGTCAGCACCTTTACAATATAGTCGTATTTTACCATCTCTCTTGAGAATGACCGACATTCTTTTCCTGACATTATTAAAGTCAAGGATACAAAGCAGCTCATACATTTCTTCAGTTCCTTTTGCCTGAGGATGAGAAGATATATAAGGTTAATGGCATAAATTTATATACCTTTACTTCAATTACCAATATGATTCATGTTTTAAAGTTCCTCCTTAACTAGGTGTTTCATGTACTTATAATGCAATTATAATGCTGACAGATAAAATGATGACTGGCACTTCCTGCACTAGAACTGTATTCAAATATCAAAGATTGAAACAGTCAATGGCTTCAATAAGAGTATCCACTTACTGATATGGTAATACTATTTGGTGTGCGAGAAAGGAAAACAAAACCAAAGTTGCGAGCAGCTGAGACCAACGCGGCCTCATCTGGTGACTGTGCTTGGTATTCCAGTTTTCCTGAAATAATAAATGCAATGGTAAATATTATACTAAAAAAGAGTAAACAATATAAAAAAATAAAAATAAATAAATAAACAAACAAACAAACAAACAACAAACAAACAAATAAATAAATAATAAATAATAAATAAATAAATAAATAAATAAATAATATATATATATATATATATATATATATATATATATATATATATATATATATATATATATATATATATATATATATATATATATATATATATGTTTTTTCTTTTCTTCTTTTTAATAATTCTTGGACATCTTATCATTCTATGAATTCTAACTTTAACACTGAAATATTCCAAAGTATACATGATTTTAAGAGTAATATAAAGGATACCTTTCTATAAATGAGATCATCTTATTCACAGAATTATTTAGCACAACTAAAAAAAAAAGTCAATTTTCCAGCCTCAGAGCCATAATGGAACTTACCATTCTTATCCTCTGACATCACAGTGTGACAAAGTGCAAGGAGTCGAAAGAAGAGCTCACAGCTGGGATCACTTGCATCTAGAGCATCCGTCAGTGCGTGGTCGTAAAACTTGAAGCTTGACTCATGGTATGGGTTGTGTGACAAATCCACTGATCTTGTGTACTGGAAAAAGTTATGATAGTTACTCTCAAAGACCTACTCTAACCCTAGACTATTCATGCAAAGTTCAAACTTTTGCTTGCATGCACACTATAACTATAGTTACCTGTATCATTCAATATATTCTGACAAACAAAAATGCTTTGTAATCATATCAAAAGAAAACAACATTCTAAAAAGAACTGAAAAATCATTAAACAGAATATCAGGCGGAACAGAATAATTTTAGTTTTGAAATTAGTACACTGTTATATTAGCTATGTTAATCACATGCTCAATAATTTATGGTGCATGCAGCATAAATTTTTATAGTCATTACATGATTATTCAATTAATATCACAGATTTATAACAAAATGGCATCAAGTTATCAAATTCTTTAAAAAAAGCACAGAAGTACAGAGTACGCACATTGCTACAATGTTCAGATACTATTTAATTCATCATAATGATAATTCTATTCCATACTAATACCAAGAATTTGATGTACAATTTACAAGAAATTTTAGAATCATACAGAGATGCAATTACAATATTCAATCATACTTGTTCACACTAAATGTTACAATCTAAATACATAATGTTTCTCAATTAACAATGTAAATTGAGGATTTATTATCCATTAATACCACTGACACAAGGATCAACGCAACATCAGAAACACTTAAGAAATATCTATACCATTTTTTACTGGCACCTACATTCTTTACAAGGGACTACATTGTATAAATACCTACAAGTAAATCTAATGTTATAAGGTTTTACAAAATCAATATCAAATTGGTAAATATGATAAATAATAGTATATGCATTTATTAATTATATAATTTCATACAACTATATAATAAATGAGTGAAAAAGGTAGGAAAAATAATAACATCTCGTAATAATAGTCACTATTTTTTTTGTTTCATGAGTAATATGGCACACTAAATAAATTACACACCCATCTCTGAATGTAATATCTATGTTTTTGCATCTAAGAATTTTATTGCGCTAGTATGTCTTGTAACTTCATTTCCTAAAAGTGGATATACAGTTCTCAGTAATTCAGTTTTCTTTTGAAAGAAAATCAATCCTCTTCCCTTTTCATTTACAATACAGCTCCAGTCTCAGGACCTACCAGGATGAGGATAAATATAACCCACTCATGACAACTGGTGTCCTATCATGTCATGGCTAAACTGTCACCCAGATCAAGGTGATGTCCTATAAGTTTAAGCGCATTTGGCCTGCTCTAAGTTGTGCATGCTAAACATTTGTTTGCTTGTTTTTCTCTGACTACTGTCACTAAGGAGAAACAGATCCTTAAGGTCTCCTTTCTGTCTCACATTCTAAGAAACTTTATGCCACAGCCAAGAGCATGGAGAGCAGGGTAAATGTATATCTTCCATGCTTCTGATATCTTACTCAAGTGGCTGACTGGATGAGATTCTTGGCCATGATTGAGTTAATCATGCACAATAACATAAATATATCTCTTTACCATAAAATTAACAGCTTGGCAAACCTATACAGTCTTTCAAACATCAAACACCCTTTTCGTTCATTCTGAAAATGTGTTCCTTCAGCTGAGCAAAATTTGTGCACAAGTGCACATAATTGTTTGCTTAAAGATGAATATTTTTAAAGAACAAAAATGTATATCTAATTTTAAATTTTCATATGCATCACTTATTACAGAGCCATATGAAATCATCTTTCTATAATATTACCATTACCATGAATATTATAGTGACCAAGTTATCATATCCACAAATTATTCAAATCCAAGATTATTGTCATTACAAATTCCCCTGATAGATTATATAAAACAGAGAGAATGAGTGTTAAACAGGTTAAATTTGAGCAAACTATGAAGAACCCTTTTTAAACAAGAATTAAAAATGTATTGTTATTACTTAGAAATCTAAAGTAAATGAGGATATATTACTTATTTTAATATATATATTTAGTCCTCTTCCCTTTCAATTTACAATATAACACTAGTCTTGATCAAAGATTTATATCAGTGATATGATATGAAGAAATTACTTGCAGAATATCAGTTAAAAAATTATTTTGAAAAAAATATTTCTAAGGAATATATCCATCTTATTTACCTTTTCCATGTTAAAAGCAAAACTAAGATACAATGGTAATCACAATTATCAACAACAATAACAGAGTAATTATTGTTTTTAAAAATTTCAATGGAACATGGAACTTAACATAGAAGTGTTTATACCAGTGGATCCCAACATGTTTCCAATCATGACCTCCTTCCCAAAACTCCAACACTTCAATGACCCCTTCTCCTGCACCTCTGCAACCACCTTAGGGTTCACAACCTACTGACTGGGAAATACTGGTTTATGCAGTACCATAGCTAGACATTTGGGGGCCTGGGGAGGATAGGTTCCTTGAGAGGCCCTAAACATTTTTTACGTTAAACCAAGATAAAAAAAAAAAGAAAAATCACCAACTCACTTGACAAAAATTTCTTTCTCCCATAAAAGAAAAATAAAACAATGGGGACCAGTAAAAAATTACCTCCCTCTACCCCATCCCTAGCTATGCTACCGAGGTTATAACAGACTACTTTTAAACATAAATATGGATATGGTAGTTATATTAACAGCATGTATTGAGAGAAAAGGAGACAAGTGTTACAAGAAACAGTGTTACATTGTGGAGAGTCACCTGGTCTGTATGAATTATTGTTTGGATAAAGAGTAAAGGATACTGTTTTTCTGTTGTTAAGAAAAAAAGATAATTATCACTTTATATTTAATAAATACTTAATGATTACCCCATTTATTATTTTCTTGATTTAGTATGAAGGTCTACACATCTGTCTGAATATTATATCTTCTAAACCCTAATACTGGCATTTAAAAAGAAAGCA